CTTACACTACTTACCTTTTTGGTGAGAACTCCGGTACCTTTTTAAAAAAATGGGGTACTGTACCTATCATTCACTTGATTGGTCCAAATAGGTATATCATTTTAAATTTTGATTTAAATAATTCAACTGCAACATTCTGATTGGTCCATGTGGAAAAAGATATGGTACCTTATGGTAGGGGTGGGACCCGATCCCGATTGCCCAAATCCCGATCCCGATTGCCCAAATCCCGATCCCGTCCCGATCCCGATTCAAACTACAAAAGGATCCCGTATCCCGTCCCGATTAAGTCGGGATCCCGACATTAAAATCCCGATTAAGTCGGGATCCCGATCGGGAATCCCGCTTAATCCCGCTTAATCCCAACAATGAAGTATCAAACATAAAATTATGTAATTTCTTTAGTTAAGCACTAACTTTGATATTTAACGGTTTCAAATTAAAATTATTCTTTGTTCATTGTAATAATTATCGTCTCAAATTCACACTAGTACATACTTTTAGAATAAATTTTATTTGTAACTTCAATTAATTAATAGTATAATTTTTGAATAAGCTATCAAGGCTTAGTGAAACTTACTTCATACATTTTATAAAAATCACTAAAAGAAGGATGTGTAACGTATATTATTTAAAATTCAAAACTAAATAGACTCATTGAGAAACTTTGTGACCAATGAATATAATGTATAAATACATATTATGATTATTTAAGAAATCTTAGTCTCGATCATTTTAAAGAGTTCATCAGAACCGCAAAATTTGTAATGTTGTTGTGATTTTGATTGTCGGGATCAAGAATAATCTCTATTTAGTTAGGATCCCGAATATTCATTTTCGGACAAATGCCGAATAGTTTTAGAAGATTGATATTGTAAGATACTCGTAGTAAAAAATTAATCTATGTAAGGAATAAGTAATTAAAAAGATATGCAAATATTTAGATACATATTCATTTTTTATATATTCATATATAATTATATACATGTGTATATATATTTCTATATATATGTATATTATTTATATATATATATATATATGTATATATATATATATATATATATATATTTCTATGTTATATATATATAGTGTCGGGATGTCGGGATTTTCCCGATCCCGACTTTTTTTTAAAAAAATCCCGGTCCCGTCCCGACTTAGTCGGGATCGGGAAATATTCCCGACTCGGCGGGATCGGGATCGGGATCGTCGGGATCGGGATTGTCGGGATCGGGATCGGGAGTCGGGAGTTTTTTCCCAGCCCTCACCATTGTTGTTGTTCTCACTTTTAATGGGTCCGGAAGATTTGGTTGGTGGATCCATTAAACCTCAGAGCATCTTTAATGGTAATGTGAATTGCACCCCACAAAAAATGGACACGTAATCGCTATAGACGGCCCGTGAAGATGACATGGAGGGACATCCAATTTCAATCCGATTGCATCTCCAATGGAATCAATCGTTTTTTCTATTCTTTAAATAATACGTAACAACATTTAAATTAATTACTCTCCAAGTCTGCATATCCAAAACTACGGCCGGGAGGAGGAGCGCCGTCGTATGTCGCCACAAAACTACCTAGCTAACCAATTCACGTAATTTTTTTTGGATGTAATATATAAAAATATTTGTATTCTTTCAGATATACGAAGTATGACCCAAATGCACATTGGACCTCCGTTTCTGCTGCGCCGGAAAATAAAATGAGCCCGAGAAGGAGATCGTCAGAGCAAAAAGGGGCTGCCGGCTAAACGACGAGCGACATTGTATCATAAAACGCTGATATACGTCTATGGTGGTCACTTTCTTCCTCCAAGGCTCCAAGCATGCTATATACTACGTATATGTTACCACCGGTTACCGGTCTCTTCATAAATGAAACCACCATTTTTTCAGGTGTCGGAAAATAAAACGAGCCGGAGAAGAAGGTCGCCGGAGTAAAAGGGGTGCCCACCGCCGCTGCTTAGGCGAGGAGTGCCGCTGTGTCACAAGGAAGGGGCTGCTATAGGATGTGAGATTGTTGTCCTTGTTTGGTTACTACTGAAATCGTGTGTTGCTTTGCCGGAAAGGAAAAAATTGAAGGAGTTCTTTACTTTTGTAGGTGTGCTGAAGAACTCCACATTTGTATAAATATGTCCGGCAGAAAAATAATTAAAATACTCCCTAAATAGTTGAATAAACGATTTGATGACTTGGCTGTTTGGTGGCCTTGCTGAAAGTAGAAGCCCGGGTAGACAGCAGCTCTTATTTTTCATTCCAACTCAGCAACACAGGATGAATGCATGTTTCCGTTGGAGTGAGTAAGTTTAGCTCAAGGTCTCTATAGCTCACGTGGCAATTCATTTTTAAAGGATCCACGGCCCCACTACGGATGCTCTCAGCTCCTTCCATACTCGGTGGCCGGATTCGAACCGTCATCTCCTCACCCGGTAAATCCCGTCTCTACAACGGTAGATCTGGAAGGTTCTCCAAAATTGCATCTAAAACATGAATAAGTTCTTTTTAGAATGTTTTAGATATTTTACTTCATCTGAAGATCCAGAGTGGTGCATATATACGTAACGTAAGAAATAAGGTGACAGCCTCATTTTTTATACATATGATGGTTTGGAAGGCCTGGATCGGACGAAGTGAGTTCGGTACCTGAGGCGGGGGAAGGGGATGAAGGGAATGGGGAAGCGACAAAGGAAGCTCTCAGAAAGAGATCCGAACAATACTCCTTAAGACAGTACGTAACTCGATGAACAATACTCCTATTTATGTGTTTGTTCTGATTTGGTGTTGCTTATTTTTATGTGTGAGCTCTGCTGGTCAAACTCATCATCATTTTGGGCTTCTCCTATGTTAGCCAATGTTGGCATGCATGTGATGATGAATATGAGATTCACCCCATTAATTCTGAATGAAATGTCTATGCCATTGTTGTTGCGTGATGATGAATACAATTTCTTTGTGAATGATGTGACACCATTACACTCATACACCCAAACAAATCGAATGTACATGCATGGGCATATTTGTAAGGTAGTTTCTATGGTACCTACCCATAAGGTACCATACCTTTGTCCACATGGACCAATGAAAAGGTAGCAGTTGAATTATTTAAATCTAAATTAAAATTGATAAAGTGATGTGGTCCAATCAAATTAATGCTAGGTACGGTACCCCTATTTTTAGAAAGGTACCGGAGTTGTCACCTATTTGTAATGCTTATTGTGTAGTGGCAAATTGTAGTGTAACTAGGCATGCACCAGGTTCGGTCGTCCGACCCCAGTTCTGGGCCGAGACCGGCCGGCCTTTGCTAATAAAATGGGAGATGCGGGACGGGCTCGCTGAAATCCAGATTCGGACCCGATCCCGGTCTCGGTCCGGTCCAACCCCCAACCCCTATTTAAAAAATAATAATAATTCCCTCAAAAAAATAGTAATAATAATGTAAAAATTTTAAAAAAATGAATATATATATATATATATACCATTTGAATAAGTAACACTTGAAAATGATTTTTCCACGTTTGCAAACCGAAAGATGTAACAATAAACTACAAATTTGAAACTATTACAAATTTAAAGTTATTAAACTAGTAAAAATATTACAATGGTAGGCATTTGAATAATTAACACACGAACACAACACTTATTTAATACGTTATTTTCATTGCATAGTTTGACATGTTTATGTTTTGATTATTATACTAGCTTGTAGCTACCATTTGAAGTGAGAATCTTTTTATAGATTGAATTCATTATTTGACTTTCTAGATAAAAATTGCCCACTAAAAGTCTAAAGCATGCAATATTGTTTTCCAGTAACACGTTTTATTTAAGAAGATCATAATACCCTCAATAACTTAATCTAATGAAAAATAAATTGAACGCTACCAATCGTGTTATGCAGTCGCCTGTTATTGCTGCCATCGCCTTCAATCCTTCATTAAAATCGGAATGTCACAAAGCTATACTCCCTCATCTCTTAAAACTTTGTTATCTTTCTTTGTTGGCCGTCTCAGAAAAGTTTGTCACTTTCCCTTTTAATAAATTAATTTGTGATTTCTGTTATTTCTCTCTCCTATGCACAAATCTCATTCACACAGTTTTTACTTTATCATTTTTTGTATTGGTCAAACTTGGTAAAGTTTTGAGGGGGTGGAGGGGGTATATTCTAACCTCTTTTTTTATAAATGATAATATCAAAAGACTAATTTGCTAAATTCTAATTCCTAGAATGACTAATATCTTCAAATAAATGACTGCACCCATTATTAAATATATAAATTAAAAAAATGTATAGTTAGTTTTTAAAAAACCAGTAAACCCCAAATGAAATCAAATGGATAGAAATAGGCATTGATCAATTTATTTTTTATTTAAGTAAAGATGGTTGAATTTCATTTGGATACAACTATAGTTATAAAAATTGGTTCTTCTAATTGGGATGAGGGTTTTCCCGTGTTGGGGCATTGGGATGGGGGTTTTCCAGTGGTGGGGCGTTGGGATGGGGCCATGGGGGTTTTCCGGTGGTGGGGCATTGAGATGGGGGTTTTCCGGTAGTGGGCGTTAGGATGGGGGTTTTCGAGTGGTGGGGCGTCTAGTGGTGGTGATTGATGGTGGTGGAATAGCTGTGGTCGGAATAATTGGTATCACTGCGGAGATGCAACTGCAGTGGCCGGCGGCGGCGAGTCATGGTGGAAGTGTCATTTTGACCGTAGGCAGCATGTCAAAATGGCGGCGTCACTGTGGTGGGTCTCACTATATCGTTGTCACTATGACCGGTGGCGGTCACCAGTCGGAGATGATGGAAGGTGGTGGTGGATGTCATAGTATCTCATGTCACTGGAGCGTTTCATGCTACACTGTAAAAAGTGGGTAAATAAGTAAGCTTATTAATTATTAGTCACATTTTTGGAATTTATAAAAAAAAAGGTCACTTTTTTAATTATTTAATTACTTCTTAAATACGGAATATATAAAAGTCTTACTTTTGTGCAGTAAAGTTCTAATGTAATTTTTGTATCCTTTAAAAAATGAGAAGAAATTACCGTTGAGTCGAAACAAATTTCAGTGTATTAAAAACTCTCTTAATTACTTTAAACCCTTGACAAAGTGCATTTCGTGCTTTGCTTCCTTTTCGAATGGTTTTTCAATGGTTTGATCCACTTTCCACTTTATTTGAATAAAAGAAGGAATTGCTTTCTAATATTAACAATTACTCAGCCTAGGCACCCTCCATTGCAACCAAACTATATCACTACTACTTGCCAAGCTTCTATTCCAATTCTTGCAATCTTGCCCAACCAAACATCATGCAACAAGACCAAGTAACCAACCACTTTGGCTCATAATGTGATTCTTCTGATGGTCTTCCTACTTCATAGAAACATCATCTTGTAGCAGCAATCAAGTCTAACAAGTCCTTCAATCTGCAGAAATGACACCAACACTTTATAAACTACAAAATAAGGTCTACCGTAACAATTGACAATTTCACCCTCCGTTAAAGAAACTGTCTATTAATTAAAAGGGGTTTATTCACAAATAAGCTAAACATTTAGCAATCTAATAAAATTACTACAAGCTCATTTAATAAGGTCTAGAATGCTTGAAGTTGTTGACTGTGTTGAACGATCATATTTAGAATATACTTCTTAAATGAAGTACAACAACAAAAACAACATTCAAGTCTTAGTCCCAAACTAGTTTGGGATCGGCGAATCGGCACATGAAATTGAAGCTAAAAAGGGAAGAAAGATAAAATGATAAGGAAGTAAAAAAAAAGGTAAGATAAAAATAGATATGTACTTCATATAAGATAAAGATAAAAATGATAAGATAAAAAGGATAAACAATACTAACTCCGGTTTTTTTTAATCTTCACAGTTTGACTTCACACAAAATAAGGAAAGAAATTTGACTTTACTGTAGAGTACACTGTTGAGACACTGTTTGACACTGTTTGGCACTGTAGAGACACTGTTCGGCACTGTTGAGACACTGTTTGACACTGTTTTGGTGTAGATTTCTTTGCCAAAAAAGGAAATAAGGAAGTGTGAAGTTTATTTTAGAACGTCCCAAAAAGGAAAGTGTGAAGTTTATTAAAAACCGGAGGGAGTATAAGATAAAAAGGACGAAAATAAAAAAGTAAAGAACATAAGATAGATAAAGAAGATAACATGATACAACAACATCCAAGCCTTAGTCCCAAACGATATTGGGGTCGGCTAACATGAATCGATACATGATATCACCAAAAGGAAAAGAAAATAAAGATAAAAAATATAAGCTATTATAAAAAAACTCCGCCATGAGATCAATTTTTTTGGTTTCATGCCTGTCCCAAGTCAAGATAAAGGAGGAGGGTATTGTGGTAGGTGCGTGACGGACAACAGTATCACCTAGTCACATCACATGACATGAATCGAAATATAAAGAAGATAACATGATAAAAGGATAAAAAAGATGAGAAGAGATAAATCCTACACTCGAATATTCTTCCTCCACTTTACTCTATCCAAAGTCATACTTTCATCTTATCCAAGAAAAGACATATCACTCCTTACTCCTCTAATCCACGTCTATTTGGTTCTTTATCACACTTTGTTCCCCACCTCTCAACTCGTCTAATAGGTGCATCATTCAATCTTCTACGCACTTGACCAAACCGCCGCATTCGAGACTCGCAACTTATTCCACATTTTCTGCATGGTAGTTCGTACTTTATGGCATAAAATCAATGCGTTATTCTTGCCAATTTAGGAAAAAATATTTATCCTCTTAGAGACAACATATCTTCCTGTATACAATCATTTAAGATCACAGGAGGTAGTATCACTATAAAAGAGAGGAAAAGGTGGCCCAGATTATTCCCTTTCCTAGATCTCCCATTTGGTGGGAGCTACTGTACTGGGCAAATCCTTTACACGTACCTAACATTACTCAAGTCTGGATATTTTGCAATGGCTGCTTTGAAATCCTGATTAGCGGTAGATGAAGTATAAGTGATCACACATGACATCCCTGCTCTTGTTGCAGCCTGAAGAAGTTGTGCAATATACATATATTATAGCTGGTGAATAATAATCCGATAAATGTGGATGCATATGGAGCCAAATACAACAGGTAAATATCCAAGGAATAATTCCATATGGCAACTTTGCAATCAGCCAATCACATTTTCATTCATCATTATCCAGTGCTACGAAGGCTCCCATCTACGGTGGGGTAAGGGGTCGGATATACGCAGCCTTACCCATGTACTAAAGTGTCTCTAGATGACCCATCATGAAAATCGAGTCGAAAATTGCATGAACTGACTGCTACTCCATAATAAAGAAGCGCGGACAGTTTAGTGAGTCATTTTGCTTCATTTCATCATATTCCCAAACCAAAAAATAGTAAATCTTTGGCTCCATTGCAATTAGCCAATCACATGTAGAGACAAAAACTATGAATATTCATGCAATGACACAATCAAAAGAGATAAAATACATTTATGCTCTCAATTGTACAGGGACATGTTCTCTTTACCTGAATGTTTCCAGTTTGTTTGGTCTTGACTGGTCTGGTTAGGACTGATTTCATGTATCTGGTCTGCTACTAAAGACAGTTCAAGATAACAGGTTCTATCTAATTTTCTATATTCACTTTTATCATACTAGATCAACTCTTTTTCTATATTCTCTTCATTTTGATTACTTTTATAACAAGCAATAATTAAATACTGATTAAACACAATAATTGGAAGAATGACTAGCACCAATTAGAAAGATTCATTCTTTTATTAACAATTCTTTATATATATATGGAGTACGGTTTGTAGAAAGAACGGTATAAACCTGGAGTCCGATGACACTATCCTCTACCACCAAACAATTTATTCTGGGCACACCAAGCCGCTGCAAGATAATACTAATACAAATAATAGTAATAAAATAATAATAATAATAATAATATTAATAATATTAATAATAATAATAATAATACATCTTCATATCAAAATAGCATAGGTAAAAATTGTGGACTGGAAGTAAAAATGTTAAAACCTTGGCAGCTGTTATATATATTGAAGGATGGGGCTTTTTTTCCATCACATCATCACCTAAAGAAATGGAAACACAACAAGTTCAGACAAATATATATGACTTCAGGAATTTAGAGCACGTATGACAAAAAGTCTTCGTTTTTCTCATAATATGTCTTACATGTTTTTTCTCCTAATGTGATACGATACTATTAGTTATCCTATCATCACGAGCCGCCCGTTTTTAAATTTTTCGTTCTAGATTTGCTCCACGTTGTATTCATACACTCATCTTGATTAATATGTAGTTAATACAGTCCTTATCTTTCACATTTTGATACCATAACTGTTTTTCACAAAAATAGGTACCCGATATTCTCTTTACTAGAAGCATGTTCCATTTGGTAACTCACATCTCTAGCCTTTATGCATTTCCATCTTCTCCAACCTTTTCTATCTTCTGCAACCATGCACGAATCTCCCTCTTTTGATGTGTTTGAAGATGCATGAAGCTGGTAGGTTAGGCTCAGCCAATTTTCACTCCATCTTCTAAATTTATGGGAGATTTCATTGATTTTTTCCTATCCTAGAGCCAACCTCGAAAGTTGCAACTCCACTATGCTGGTTTGTGTTTAAGGTCATTCGGTTCTTTTCATATTTAGGGATGTCCGTTTTTAAAACCTTCTATAGTCATATGAAGGTGAAAAAACAAATCTGGTCTATTTTGGGGATATGAGATATTATTAAACCCATATATGCCTATAACTTTTAATGAATGCAACATTTCTCCAGTCCATAGACTACAGGAATGTAAACGTGACATTTTTGTGAGGATTACATAATTATGCCTGTTTTGTGATATTTTTTGTTGTTGAAGTAATTGAATCGAAGAATTGAATATATTATTGGTAACAACCTCCACAGGATATTTTTATAAAAAAAAAAAAGAACAAAGCCATAGAATCTTATTCTCTTAATTTAAAAAAAATTAGCAACAAGTAACTTGTGAAATACTTTTTCAGAACTGTCAACAGAGTAGAACAGAGTCAACAGAATTTAGAGGTGTTTGGTTGGCACAATTGTTGCCATTTTTAGTGTCTGCCAAATGGTTACCATTATCTCTCATATTATGTTATGAGTTGTACATATACAAACTTTACTTGAAAATATGTGCTGCACGGTAAGCTGGTATCTACAGCACACACTTCATTTGGTATTAATAAAAGTCGACTAAATGTAATACCGAGTATTATTTTTTATAATATCAAGTTTGCAATACCCAAGCAAACACTCCTCTTCTTCAAAGGTCAAAGGGTTTTTCACTTTATTTATACCAATCTTAATTCTATATGAAAATATGACATATTTACATCATACGTAAAAGGGGAGTGGAATTCCAAGAGAAGTGAAAGATACCTGCCAGAAAGCAGTCAAGGCCGTGGAATCGATCCTAAACTAACAAACGTTAGCACATAAGTGAACTCATGTTTTTAAAGAAAGATTTTGCTTTAATTGACTAATGGGCTTACAATTCCAATAATATTTTCCATAGTAAGTATGACTGAACTTTTAGTTGAAGCAGAGCAAACAGCCAGTTTCTTTCCCTGTCACAGAATAGAGCACGACATAATAAAACATGCCACTTCAAAGACATGATACCACTTATACCACCACATAGGGCACATACTCAAATCACAGGGAAAACTTGCTCTGAACCTAAAGTACTTTAGTACTTCAGAACCATTTTCTTAACCCCAAAAGCAAATCAAAGTAGATACATGAAAATATCAAAATAGACATATCAAATGACCAAAGTTATAAAATGGTTATACATACCGCAGCCTTGGCCTCATCCATCAATCGCAGAACACCAGGTCTAGGTTCAATCTGCCCAAGCAATAAATATATGGGACATGTTTTGGCAAGGGAAATAACTCCGAAATAAAACCCTGTTTTTGGTATTATGCATGTCCCTAATCAGCATCAAGGAGGAGGGTGTTGTGGTAGACATCTAACGGCTAACGGTATAACTTAGTCACATCACATGATATTAATCGAAATATGCATATCACTTTTTTTACTTCAATTTCATATGTCGTGTCATGTTAGCCGACCCCCAAAATCTAGGGCTTGGATTTTTGTTGCTGTTGTGGTTGTATTGAATCTCTCAAATGACTAGATCCACTGAATTACCCAAAGAAAAAAGTACTCCGTATTTGGTAAAGTCGCAGCAAAACAAGGGCCTGTTGGTAAAGGTTATTAGGTTGAAATGGCAGAATTTGGTTAAATTATTGAAAAGAAGAGTCTAGTAAAGCCAAATAAACCATATCAGGGTACTAAATAGGTTCCAAGTAAGTCAATGCTACTTATTCCGCCTATATTGCTCGTACGTAGATTGAGTTGATTAATGCTTCCAAACGGAGCCATGGTTACATTCCTCTGAAGATCATTAGTTTGTTTCCCCTTCCTTACCTTTCCAGATTTGATTATCTGCTGGTATCTTTCAGTCTTCCACTCCTACAAAAAGCAGGAATTTTATAGGTAACACCCGTTTCATCTAGTATATACTGGTAACATGTTCATGAAAGAAGAAGCACAAAATCGGTACTTGAAGAATATCAATCAGCTTTGCTCTATCGGCATCATCTTCCGGCGGCTTACCAAAGATTGTAGACGTCGGCCATCCATGCTCGTTAAAATACCTAATACGTTCCAATACCGATTACCGAACTCCAACAAATGCATTTCGTTCATAATTTATACTTAGAAGCAATGCTTCGTAATAAAGATAAAATGCACAAATTTGAGAGAGGGGAGACCATCTCATTTTGGGTTTTCCACCGCCGATTCGGTTCTGGAGATCATCGTAGAACTGGACATCCCAAGAGAGTGGCTGAGATGGACAAAAAGGGGAACATACATTGAAGTGAGAGAAAGCATCATTATAGGCCTGCAGGTGGAGATGCTCGGACTCCAGCATAACGCCATCGCAGTCAAAGAGAAGCGCGTCTAGCGCACGCGTCGTCGCCAAAACGGACAGTCGTTTTGCACGAAATGAGATCGGCTGGGCATGGAGGCTGGAAGCACCCCTCGCGAGTCGAAGAGGTTGTAAGAAAGGAGAGTGGGGAGTCGAGAGAGAGGGGTTGTATGGAGGTGGGAGGAGTACCGCACACGCCACCATAGCTCAGACGTCCACTCACAACGCCGGCGACAGTTCGGGAATTTGACGGACAGGTACGTGGCTCTGAGAGAGATCGAATTTGCAGTTGCAGCAGATATAACGACTAACAGCCATCCAATTTTCGCTTCATATAGTTGGACATCCAATCATACGATCCTACCTTAAAATTTTGTCACGTTTGAGGGGAAAATAAAAATTGTGTGGTTGAGATATGTGCAGAAGATAGAAAATTAACTGGGATAATTTTTTTTTACTAAAATTGACAAAGTTAGTGAAACATCAAAAAAAGAAAGTTGACAAAGTTTTAAGGGACGGAAGTAGTAATTATATATAAAAATAAAATACTCCTTATTACCTTCTTAAGCTTGTCAATCCTCTAATGAGATACAAAACCACAAATTCTTGCATTCAAATTATTTGTGTATAGACAATTTGACTGGCGCTTTATGAAAAAAAACGGATTTTCACATAGACAAAAAAATCTATATCACAGACATTTTAAAATTCTCGTTTAAAAATTGTCTGTATCACAAACATTTTATGAAAAATTCTTGTCCAAAATATCTGTAATAGAGACAACTTTTAGCATAGTTTGATTATTAGTTTCCATAACAGTGAAGCAATTATAAATTAATACATTTATTTATCTACTTCCTACATGGATTTGTCACAATTATAAATTAATAAAATATATTTCATTCATCCTGCTAAGATTGCCTCATCTTTCATTTTCGGTCTGTCCCAATAAAATTGTCTCATGCCAAATTGAGTAAAGTTTGTGTCATTCTAAATTATTAGTACTTTATTCTTACTTTATCAAATCAATATCAGTCACATAAACTCATTTTTTTTATAACAGTACCATCTCCTCTTGTCTCGATGTTAGTGGGACGTAGGTAATAATATACTATCCTCCGTTCTTTAATAGTTGCATCAGTTTGACTTTCACGTTTGCCAATGCACAACTTTTACTATAATTATATTTAATTACGTATTAGTAAACATTATAAAAAGTGAATATTTTGGAAATTTAATAATATTTTATACAAAATAATTTTATTAGTAGAAAGTCATCGTCAAAGTAAGGTGTATGAATGCTGTGTAACTTACAATGTTGCAACTTTTAAAAAATGGAGGAAGCATACACCAATACACTATATATGTACACATAATATATACGAAATATAATATAATATATACACTACTTATGAAATATTAGTCACATTTTAGTATTACTCACATTTGAATATTAGTTGCATTCTAATATTTGTTACATTTTAATAGTTGTTACAATTTAATATTAGCCACATTATCATATTAATTATATTTAAATTTCCCACATTATCATTTTAATATTAGTTGCATGTTAATATTGCTCACATTTTAATATCAGTCACATTTCAATACTTGTTACATTGTAATATTTATTACATTTTAATAGTTGTTACATTTTAACAACATTGAGAGGGGTAGGAAGTTTGTTGATACGTGTAATATCCAACACAACTGTGCGAATGAGATTGCGATGGGTCATCCTTCTTCGCGGGCGAAAAGTAAATGACACGTTGGGGCAACATTTTCGTTCCAAAGCCGTGATGATTAAGAGGCCAATTATGACTGTAGAGATATGATGACCGATGACCAAATGACGCAACTCTAGTCACAAAACCAAGGTAGTTTTTTGCCACAATAAAACCTTCCCGAGATTAATGAAGAGATGGAGGAGGACGCTGAGGAGGAGCCGCCGGTGGATGAGGAAGAACAAGGCAGCAGAGATACCCCTAATGAGGAGGAGCAAGGAAGCGGCGCCGGTTCATCCCAACCACCCCAACAATGTCAATCTTCCAAACTCAAAGCTCTTCTTTTGTAGATTATTTTGATACGGCTAAGAATATGGAGGACGAGAAGTTGTATGCAACTTGTAAACATTGTCCAAAAGAACATTTAGGGGGGCTACGACACCGTTCAAAGTCACTTAAACTCATGGCACCCTACCGAGGCGGCAAAATTGAAGATCAAGGGCTTGCTAACATATATATCGAGGTTTGCAAATGATCAACCCTTTGATGATTTTGTTTATAATGATGAGTCACGTTTGAAAGCTATGTTTGAAGTAATATGTGAAGAAAACTTGACTTTTATTTTTTCTGAAAGTCTTGTTTTACGTTCTTATGCTCAAGGTTCTTTAAATTCACAATTTTGAAACTATAGCCGCAAAACAATTAAAAAACAAGTTATTAAACAATATATACTTTGGAAAGGGAAATTTTAATTGATTTTTTTGCAAATTTTAATGAGAGTGTGACTGTTTGTAGTGATATATGGGATGATATATATCATCACTTGTATTATTTGGCTGTGAGTGTGTGACTATACATTGGATTGATGGTGATTGTGAAATGCGTAAACGAGTTATCACTTTTCAAAATTTTAATGAAAAAACATCAGTGATAATTTTTATTTTATAATGGAACTTATTTTAATTGAACTAGTATATCACCCGTGCGATGCACGACATGAACTTTGTATAATAATTAAAATAATAAAAATTAAACTAATTGCGAAAATATATAATACCATGTATCATAAGATAAAAATGAGAATTTATTATTTAGGATGATCTATAGAAAGTGAAAAGCTTTTCACAAAAGGGAGAGTCGATACAACTTGTAATTGTTTCTATTGAAGTTGTACGTAGCATGAGTAATTTTTGTGTTATGTAAAAATTATGTCCTATTAATATTGAAATACAACTCATTGGACTTTATAATTTTATTATAAACGTCCATAAATAAAATATTTCTTCTAAATAGCTAATTTTTAGTTTTTATTACGTAGTATATATATATTTTCATTACATATATCAAATCACATCAAAGTCCTTAGAGATTTTTTTATCATAAGTCCTTAGAGATTGAAATAGGAGTATTATATTGAAATAAATTTTCAACTATACCATACCTATAAAAGTAGAATGTCAATAAAACTAATCAACACAGCTCCCCCATTGTTTTTTTGAGTTTACGATGCAATAGTCCAACACATGTTCAGTCCAAAATATGGAGTACCAAATAAATGAAGCAAAAGACAAAAATCAAGGAGAATTTTGCTTTAAATGCATCTTTCGTTCTTTTGCCGTGAAGGGTTAGGCTTTATCGATAGTTTTTTCCCGTAACTAAATAATATCTTCTTCTAAAACGCATCACTATCATACAGTTCATACTTTCATATGAATAGCATTAGTCCCCATTACCTTCTGGTCTTAAAATTTGAACACATCTATCCATCTTTCAATCATGGAAAGATGTATATGTTACACGAAGGAGAGTAGGAGTGGGGATTTCAAGAAATCTAAAGAAAGTGATTGAGCTATGAATATCTTGAAGCCATGAACAACAGTGTTTAATTACACACTCTTTTGTTTGAGCCATGTATATACACAACACCTCTCTTTTGTTTAACACAAAACGCCATTCACAACACATACAACTTGGCACACACAAATTAAAATTCAACTAAATTTAACCAATTCCAGTGTTATTAAATAAACTCTTAATGTTCTGTCACAATATATTGATAAATATTGTTAGTTGCAAATATATTTTAATCCGGTTTTTCAAATATAATATTATCCAATTTTTACCTTGTATATGTACAGATATAGGTATATGTACAACTGTAGAAGCTCCTGCACAATTGAACATAAAACCTGTGAAAATCATAAAAAAGATGACAATATTTCTGTTGAAAAACAAAGAGGGATTCTTCAATTGAGTAGCATATGCTATTACTGTTCTCAGTTGTCTTCAACAGAATTGATGGGGAGATTAAATATCCCATTGCAGAGAACCTGTCAAATAACTTAAATTTTGAAAACTAATCACTGCTCTAAGATGCTTTACGGTAATTTATTATCAATATGAGTTGAAGCTACCCATCAAAATAGGAGAACAATAAGATAGATTGCATTCAACACCAATAAACGTCAACTATTAAACTTTATAGTTTCAACAAAATTACTAACCCAAAAGTCTAAACTTTGTGAGGGTTAGTAGTGGATATGGTTGAAAAATCCTGCTAGTATTACCAACCGGCGGCCTCCTCCTTAGAACTGCCTGAGTTTGCTGGTTTTCACTGCGCCACATTGATTCTAGCGACATTTTTCTGCGGGTGGCCACAGTAGCTGAAAAGGAGAGTCCCAAGTTCTCCATCTCCCACCCAAAGATCGGGAATTTGTTCGTAAGAAACCTAGTCGTGAGCTGTCTCAATCGGTCAGTTTGGTCGACGTCTTGCTAGGTCAAAGGTCGGAAGAGTATATTATTGCCCTGCATTGATGTTGCTGTAGCTGAACAAACCTGAAATACAGAACCATCGCCAGCCGTCGTAAGGTCCTAGGCTCGCACTGCTTGATGATTTCAAATGGAGATTTAATAACCAAATCTGTGGTATATAGAATGATTTTGAGCTTTGAAGGGACTCAGAAACTAACTACTGAAACTACACAACAAATGATACGGAATACAACAACCTGAACCTGAAAATCATCGTCTAGGTTGGAGGAGGCGAGGCCGGAGTTAGCCGTTGTGCGATTCATAGAGTTGGCCACCTGCTGCGGAGGCCGAGGTCGGCTGAAGAAGGTGTAGACTGCAGCTCCATATTACCATATATCGATCAATATCTATCCAACAGAAAGATAGCTGGAGTGACCGGTTCAAGAAATGTATTGGGCAGGGAGCTGAACTGTTGAATTGTCTTTTTACCCCATGGGCTACTGATAAAACTTTTGATGTTAATAAAGGTGTGATTGGATCTTCCCTAAACTCAACATATTAGCTGTAAAAGTATTTGCGATGTCGAGGACATTAAATGCTGAATGCATTATCTAATGTAAATTATCAACTCTAGCAAGCTTCGTAAACAACAAATCTTCGTACGTTTCACATCCAATGCATAGGGCCTCTGCAAGTACCGGAGACAGAGCTCCACTCTCTGTCTGTCAGATTGTGATTACAGTCCAATTTACATCCTCCCATCGTGCCGTCCGGTCGGTGTTGGGGGGCCCTCAGGGATGGGGTGTCATCCTTTTTTTTCGTACGTTTCACATTGGGATTGTGAATAAAAGATGCTACCAATCAAAGTCAACCAATTTGATCTAAAAGTTTGAATATAGTAAGCCACAACCGACAAACTTACATTAATTGCATACGTACAATCAGTCTCGCCCATGACTTACTCGTTTGCCCAGTACCTGAACTGTAAGACCCGACCCATATTTGACATGTAACTTTTGGCGGGAAACTTGCCTCTTTTTCCACCTCTTTTTATATAGAGGTAGATATAATTTGCTTCAACAGATGTTTGCTATAGGTTTTTATAATGATACTAATAATACTGTTGATGTACTTAGAGCGTGTGAATAATGTGATCATTCTATTTTGATGGGTAGATTTTATCATCAACGTTGTGCATGTCATATAATTAATTTATGTGTGAAAACGGCTTAGTCCCATCAGGAAATGTGATGGAGAAAGTTAAGGGGACTAGCAATTAGAATGACTTGGGGTAATACTCAAATTAAAATGCAATGGTGTGCTTATTTGAAATCTAAACGTGTTAAGTATTATACTTTTCCTAAAAAACTATCTATTCGTTGGAATAGTACATACAATTTAATTGTTGTGTTTCTTAGATTTAAGGATCATTTCCCTACTTTTATGAAAGAAACTTGTAATTATATTATAAAACCAGTTCAGATCGACCTCATGGAGAAAATTTGTAATGTTTTAGTTTATTTTTATAACACTGTTCAATCTTTTGCTCTTGTTTATACACCTACTAGTAACATACGTAGTATTTTTTTTTATAGAAGTTGTTAATCTCACCGGTGCTTTCAAAGAATTTTCCGAAGCCACTTACATTCATTATTTTTGTAATTTCAAAAAAGAAAAGTTTTTAAATGTTATGCCTACATTCCGTCTATATATGCTATTGATTTTTGTCTTGATCTTCGTTTCAAACTTGTAACTTATCTTCGTTTCAAACTTGTTACTTATCAAACATTCTTAGAGTACTATTGTTCTAAAGGAAAAAATATTTTAAAATCAAATATCTAATCTTTTGAAAAAAGTAAATCTACCACTTCTGTGGAGTATGATGAAAGGGAAAACTTTGACATTCTCCGGTGGTGGAAGGGCCACAAAGGGATGTTCCCCACTTTACAAAAAATTGCAAAACAAGTGTTGTCAATGCCGGTTTAAACAATTGTCGTGAAACAAAAATTTAGCGAAACCGGCAACATCTTCATTGATTATAGAATGAGGTTGAATATGCAATCTCTTGAGACGCTCATTTGCGCCCACAATTGGTTGAAGGATCGTCATAGAACACAAAAAGTTAACATAGCACTAGAACGCCGAATGTGGTTCCGACAATTAGTTCATGTATTTAAAGTTGAACATATTCTCAATTGTAACTTATAAATGTGAAATACTCTTAAGTCAATGTAGTGTTTGAAATTAATCCACATTTTATTTTTAAATGTGTAGTATTTGTTATTTATTTATTTAAGTCAATATAATACTCTAAGTTCATGTAAAATAAATAAATAAATAAATAAATAAATAAATAAATAAATAAATAAATAAATAAATAAATAAATAAATAAATAAATAAATAAATAAATAAATAAATAAATAAATAAATAAATAAATAAATAAATAAATATTCAAAGCCCATATTAATATATTATGTCAGTTTGGTTCCGGGCTTCAGTTCTAGCGGACCGGGTTCACCCCTACTTTTAATTAAACTTTATTATGAACAACGGTGAACTTTAATTTCTGCAATTCTATAATAATGTGGATCTTTTTTACCAGCAGTCAAATTGTTTTATTTGAGCATAAAGTGCAAAGAAAAAATCTAAATATGAAATAATTCTCGATTTGTCATATCTCACGCTAAACATGGTGGTTGATCATGATGCAAATATTGGTGCAAGCCGTTCAACTGTGACACCTTGGTGTTGCTGTTAAGGCTTGGGACTTGAAACAGTGGACCTATACAGATCCTCATCTTCAATGACATGAGGTATGCACCATGTTCCTAGAGGGGGGCCGCCTTTCTTCCCGCCTAAAAGGGTCGACCAGCATTCAGATCACAGTTCAACCCAACAAATCATATAAAGGTGGCAGAAACACACACAAAAAAAACAATAACAGCACAACAAAACAAAATTATGGTTTCCAATATTTCTCTACATAAAAAGTACGTAGTATATAAGTGTTTCGCAAAAAAAAGTACCCCGTATATAAGAGTTTCATGTAACCCCCCGTTCCTCTTTCCAGTTTCCACCCCCTCCCCCCGAAAAAAACATTACAAACATGTTCAGAGTGATATTTTAGGTAAAACTAAAAATAGTTTGTAAAAAGTCAAGTACGACTCACAACGTTTTAAGAGTATATATACTTGTACTTTGTGAAAACTACAACAGTGTGCCTTGGATATAAAAAATTACAGCAGTGTGCCTTAGAGCTTTGCCTGGGGGAGGGGGGGGGTACCTTCTTTAGTAGCTTCTTCACATCTTTTTTGATAGCCTACAGATAATTCAGGCCCTAAAGCTTCCAAAAGGCTGCTATACTTTGCTTCTGCTTCTGTAATGTGTTTTGCCTGAGCAAAGTTAAAAGTCGATATGAGAGAAACAACAAAAGCTAATATATGGGGTATCCGACAAACAATTATTTTGAGATAAGTAGATAATGTTTTAAAGCAATGTAATAGCAGCTAGAAGGGAACTTTAGTAACAATGTTCTGAAGTACCTCACCACAATAGCATATATGCTTACCAGGATCGGTGGTGCAGCAGTAGCTCCATAAATTTGGACAAACATCCGCAATATATTGAAACTGTTTTGTAAGACATCATCCTACAAAGGAAAAAACTTGTGTACCATGTTAGATAGTTCTGTATCAAATATACTAAAAGATGTAAAAGCAAAACAACTAACCTCATAATCAAACCTAGGACGACATCATCCACTTATTCATTAGAGACACCATCCAAATTGTGTTTTGTGTCGGGCATTCAAAATCAACCAAAAAAAGTATTTATCAACACAGGAAACATAAAATATTTCCCATATCACAATGATGGGAACAAATATGAGAAATGATTGGGAAAAGGGAGGTAGTATCAATCATGTGGTCATGCGGTCATGCCCTTGATAGTACTTACAGGTCATCAGATATCTCTACAAGGAACTCCGAAATCGACAAGAACTCCATATGCAACTCATTCACCTTGAAAACAGCTTTAAAAACTCTCGATGAATATGTTTTGCTTTGTAGCAAATATTTAATACACTATAATCACACACATTACGTTAGTTGATCTTGGTCGATCGAAGAGTCTACCTTTTCTCCACGCAGTTGATACAGTAAAAGACTCAGCACTCGATAATCAAATGACTTCAATTGAATAGCCCGCATGACATCGGTAACAGATACCTATGAGGAATATAATTGATCAAAAGCAAACAGGTTAAATTGTGTCCTAACTCACACTCAAAAAGCCCTCAAAAGGTGAGATATATAGCTCTCTTAAACACTAGATTCAAACTCAGAAGACCACCAATATGAGATGCTCATATTAGACCCAAACCAAGAAGTGTGTGGGCACCCCATAATGGGCTAGCTCCAAACCAACAAGTGGGTTGGCACCCCATAGACCACTATTAGACCAAATTATGATACCATCTTAAATTAAGTCTAACTCATCCCAAATGGTCATCATGAAGTAGGTGAGATCTTCCTTAAAACTTATATACTAGATCCAAACCCCAGTAGACAGCCGACTTGAGATGCTCAACACATGTATGCAGATTCTGATTCAGTAGAAAAGTTTGAAAAACTTTTACGTGCCTGCAATTTGCTTGCAAGGGCATTGCATAGCTTCCTTTCAAGGGACCAGTACTTAATTCCGTTCCTAAATTCTTCACTTATCCTGCACATGATATCTCAAAAATAACACAGATTTCAGACAATTTTCCCTGGGATAGTAAAGGACAGATGATGCTAATGAAAGTTATTATCTTATGTTTCACTTTACAATGGAAAATGTGCAAAGGGAAATGAAATATGATTAAATGTTTTTGCATATGTTTAAATTTCTTGTTTATATAATAGAAAAGGATAAATAAATAATAGAATTCGAACAAATGTTAGTAGACAGTTATTGATTTTGAACAAATGACTAATTTTCCTAAACATGTTCTTTTCCTTCCAATTTTCCTCTACATTTTCCTACCTATATTCTTGTAATTGTAATCTTGTCCAAGCATTTTCCTAGTTATAATTTACAAACAAACCCTAAATGGTCTGACAGAGGTTTAACCTATCTGTCAAAAGCCCTTGAAGATCAAGAATGTTAACTAGTGGCCCAAATGCATCAGATGTGATGCTGACAGGTTTTAGAGGCAAGCTTTGATCACCTCCCTGCACTTCATTGGAAACAAAAGGGGATAAGTTTTGCCAGTAAAATATGTTTTAAAGTGAGAAAATAGGTTGTTTGAATTACCCCACAAGGTTTGTTGCATAAAATGGTATTCTGCCTCCATGATGGCCGCAGAAACTTTTCATTTAATTTATCCAACTGCATTGCAGGCGCCAATATATTTACAAGCATCAAATGATGAGGCTAAAACCAGCCAATTGTTTTGACATTCATGGACATGCAAATCTAGGTGAATGAGTTTTTAGCTCCCATACAGAAAAAAATTGATAACAAAAACAATGTCTGAATGTCTCTATAATTGCTATTTTGATCACAAAACTTTGTTTTTTTCTAACAAGTATTTTGTTAAACACACTAAAACACTCTATACCCCTTGTGCTATCATATTTCATTGGGGTACTTATAAAGTACCTCTGGCTGATAAGCTGTTGAAACTTAAAAGAATACTCACGTTTACTCTGACTTTTAAAATGCGTCATCCATGTAATTTCATTGATATCCTTCATTGTCTTGGCATTATGGATGAATCATAAGCTTTTAGTAACCCTCTTTCTTAAGTTGAAAACTGAAATAGGAAATATAGAAAACTTCCTATATCCCTTTTTGAAATGTAGAAAACTTCTACATAAAGGTGGAAATGTGGAATCTCATGAACAGATACAAGCAACTGGCCAGGATATGATCACTGTGATAATTTAAGGGAGTCCAATTCTTCCTTGGGAATCAAAGAGAGACTTAAAGCGTTAAACAAAATCCATCTTATTCTTATATGACAATGTAAACAAAAGTTTTTAAGAACAATGCCATGGTTCATATCATGGCAACAATTACCTGATAGATAAAACTTTCAGTGAATGATAGAATTGGTAGGTATTTGAATATCGATTGAGGCTGGTGTGCATCAATTCCGTGAAACATAAAGTATGACCTACACTGGTAAGCACAAGACAGATTCATACATCAAGCCTTTGTAGCTAACAAGTGACAACTCATTACTCACTACTGTGGAGTATGACATATCGGTGATATTACATTTAAGAGACTAAGAGTCAGCGTGGAGTTCGGAATATTAGTGATATGACATTCAAGAGAGTCTGAGTGCCTATTTGGGATGACTTATGATATTAGTACTTTTATAAGAAGTGTTTTCTGGAGTAAGCACTAAAAGAGTATTGTTTTTCTTTCTAAAAGAGTATTGTTTTTCAAAAGGCTCCAATCATTTGCTTTCTTAAATAAGCAATTAAGCACAAACGGTTTTTTCTTTAGAATTGAAATACTTCTTTTGTTTCCTTGTCAAAGGCTTATTTTTATAGAAAGAAATACTTCCCTTCAATAAAAAAATACTTAGTTGTTCGAAACTAAGTCATCCCAAAAATACACTAACTAATATCTAATGAAAATTCACCAAAAGTTAGTGAGTGCTTACAAAGTCTTCTAATGTAGAGTTAGCATGTAGAATGTCATCCATACTGATTAGAGCAACATCTCTGAAATCCCATTGTTTCTGATCGGGGCCCACCTTCTCATCATTAGAGCAAATGGACGCAGAATTTTGGATGTCTGTGTTGCCTCCAACAGAAGCAGATATTGTATCATTTCTTTGTTAGTGAAGCCCAAAATTTTGTGTACCTTCCTAAAATAAACACTAGAAAGAAATCCACTTTCCCACATTACCCTTTTAGAAAGTCAAAGATTAGTCTACTAAATGCCTTGATGTGCAAAAGATTATAACTTTTTGGTTTTATCCTAGTATCACTCATCATCATCATTACCCTAGTGCCGCAAAGGCTCCTGCCTAAGGTGGGGTAAGGGGGTCATGTACGCAGCCTTACCCCTGTACTAAAGCACAGAGAGGCTATTTCTGGATGACCCATAGTGAAAATCGCGTTGAAAATTACATGGACTGATTGCTGCTTCATAACAAAGAAGTGGGAACAGTTTAGTGAGTCATTTTGATTTATTCCATCATATTCCAAGCCAAAAAATAGTGAGGTCTTTGGCTCCATTGCAAATGATGGAAAATGTCCTAAATTAATAAAATCTGCACATACATTAATGCATAAGATAACCATCAATGTGGCAGAGGGGTATCTCATTAAACAAACAGCTTGAGTTGATACATTTAACTCATTATTGTAGATATATCTAGGAAACATTATATCTTGGTGCACTTGACATCAAGCAAAACAATATACCCAACGGTGGCCCCTAAACAACATACCTAACGGTAATGATTGCAGTAGTTTTACCACAATATAGCTATCAACAAATTTCCAAAATATAAGACTCATTTGTGATTTACAATGATAGTACCTCATCAAAATAAAATAAAAAATATTTACATGAGTGAATTTAATAATTTATGACTCTTTTTATGTGATGAAAAGGGCACTATATATTCATAGAGTAAGGGTATGTGTACTTTGTTCACTTTTCAACCTCCAATAATTGCATTCCAGCCATGTGTGTAGCCAAAAAAAGTATGGAACAAATGTACACTTAGAAGTTAGAATCGTTGATATTTATAGCACTTGGAGTAATGGAGAGACGAAGGTGGTAAAATGTCACTTACTGAGATAATACATTCAAAAAGACCTACTATGGATATTTGAAAATGTTTGGGAGGAGGGAGAGGGCCACTGTCCCCTCAGCCCCTGCATCCATCCCTGCACTAAATTTTATGGGTACTACCTTGCCACAAAACCCCAAATGCTGCTTTAATGTTCATATATAGTTATATATACTAGTACATAAGATAATCACTAACACTTCCCTACTTATAAACTTTATAAAGAGCTAACAAAAAAGAGCAAACTTTTTCATAACCAATCAATTTAATATAAAGAGTCAGAACCACCTTGAGCCATTGGCTTCGGAAGAGAACCTTCCCCAGAGATGCACTTTGATGCTTCCTCAAAGAACTCGGGAGAGAACTGTGAAAAAACAAGAACTATGAGTCACTGTGTAACACTAAAATATAAGCATCTTATACATCATCCATAACCTAATCAAATTTGCAAACCCTTGGAAGGTGTTGAAGAATGAGTAGGCATTTCGTATCAATATCAAGCTCGCATCCTTCTTCGACCTTATCATCATCACAATAATGTTGAGAATAGCTGGAAAGATGCCTAGGAATAGAACTGGAAGAAACTATGCACATGTAGGAAAGGTTACCAAGAGGAGGGCGAAGTTGGCGAGAAAGCGAAGAGAGTTGGAATCGTGTTTTTCGGGAGAGCCGATTATTCCGAAAGATTGCATTGTTTCAATCATGCTATGCAGCTTCTGGAGCTTCTGCAGCTCTTCCATAGTTTCCTCTACGTGTGTGGCAGCCGGGAGTTAACGGGTAATTCGCAAGGTATTCACCGAACTGCACCACGCCTTTATCATTTTCTTTTCAGTAATAATTACTCCCTCCTAAAATAATTCCCCATTTACCTTTTGTATCCGTCTCAAAGACTCAAACTATAGTTCTCATTTCATCCTATCAAACATTTTGTGTGACTCACATTCATTTATTTTTTTCTTATTCAATTATAATCATACATTTACACTTTATTCTCACTTATTTAAATTTCAATCCAAGTCAATGTACGAACTATTTTATGGGACGGATGGAGTACATACTACCTTCGTCCCCCTAATATTGAAACGGAAGAAAGTGGCGTGATTTTTAAAAAAAGTGGAATTATGTGGTTGATAATGAGTTGATAAAGTGAATAAAATAAAAATGAATTAGAGTCACACAAATGTTACCAAATATGATATGATATGAGACAATGATAATGGGACATCCAAAAATGGAAAAGTGAGACAATTATAGGGGAACAGAAAGAGTAGTATATACTATATAATACTCCCTCCATCCCAAAATGATGGTCCTGTATTTCCTTTTTGGGATGTCTCAAAATGATGGTCTTGTTTCCCTTTTTGGTAAAGAACTAAAAGTGTATTACCATTTATACCCCTCCTTTTTAATGAACAGTAAAAGTAAAAAGGATGAATAGTGCAATAAAGTAAGGTTCTGTAGTCTTTCTACCACAATTTATTAATCTGTGTGCCCAAACAAGACCATCAAATTGGGACGGAGGGAGTACTATGTAGCATATAGAGAAAATGTACAAATATACTCTTGTAGTATGAGTGTGGGAACAAATATACTTCTGTTCTATTTTCGGAACAAATATACCTCTGCATTATATATTGAAGTACATATAGACCCCTGAACTTTTAAAAGGTGCAAACTTACCCCTCATATTTTTATAAAAGAACACATTTACCCTTATTGACTTTAAATTGATAAAAAAAATTCAAAAACACCAAAAATAAATTATAAATTCAAAATTAAAAAATAAAAGTTTTTAAAATATACATGTGTCCAATTCTCCCTTTCATTGTTTGTATATAACAATTTAATATTGTTAGGATAAAATATTATTTCAAAACTTTACTATATATTCAGAATTCTTTCGAAAAAGTGTTAACATATGTGTTGCAATTTTTTTTTTAAAAAAAAAACTTGTTTGCATTCTTTGCACTATAATATCACATATTTTTATATGATGATAAATAGTCCAAGATTACAACATAGTGAATTAAATTTTATTAAGTTTAAACAAAATCAAAGGATGCTATTTTAAAGTTTTTAACAATGTGTTCAAATTTTCGCAACACGACTAAAATTAAAATACATGAATTTCAAGTGTTTCATTTACAATGAAAAGATAAAAATTTGGCAATATAAAATTAAGATTTAATATTTTAACATAAAAACATATTTATTTTAAAATTTCGAATTTATAATTTATTTTTAGTATTTTTTGAATTTTATTTTATCTGTTTAAAATCAATAAGAGTAAATTTGCTCACTTATAAGAACATGAGAGGTATTTTTTCACTTTTTAAAAGTTCAGGGGTATATATGCATTTCAACATATACTTCAGGGCTATATTTGTTCTCACACCCATACTAAAAGGGTAAATTTGTACCCTTTCCTAAGTATATACTACGTTTTGCGTAAAAAATACTACATATTATGAAATTTCGGGTAGGCCACAACAGATCCGCCCAAATTACACGAATAGGCCAAGGAATTGGGCATGTTCACAGAATTGGGCATGTCATTTAAGGAGTGTTTGGGTTTGCTTAAAAAAAACGCTTTTCAGCTTTTGGCTTAAAAAAAGTTGAAAAGAGTGTTTTCAAATGACAGCTTCTGCTTAAATTAATCACTTAAAAGCTAAAAGCTGGAAGCAGGTAGAAGGGTGCTTTAAACTGCTTCTCACTTTTTCTATTACACAAAAAGTACTTATTTTACCAAACACTACCAACTTTTACTTTTCCAGAATCACTTTTTTCTCAAACACTACCAACTTTTACTATTAATCACTTTTCCCAAAATCACTTTAAAAAATCACTTTTTTAAAGTTGAAGCAATTGCAAACACTCCCTTAGGGTGTCTGGATCCACTATTTAGAGCTCATTTGGTTAGTATATGGTTCGGCTTCACAGACTTATGGTTGATCTTTTTTCAAATATGTAACTTTTGATTTCGCGCGCAGAATTGTGTAAAAAAAGAGGTGAAATTAGAGCCCGTTTGGAGAACTCTGTTTTCGGCTTATCAGGCTTATCAGCCAGCTTTTTCACCAAACACGTAACTTTTACTTTCGCGCGCTGAATTGTGTAATAAGCCGAAAAAGTAAGGTTGGAGTTACTTTTCTGGCTGTATTGGCTGAAGTTACTGTAGAGGACCATTTTAGCTATTTTTACATATAATTTTTTCTTTAATTTATTAATAAAATATATTTTTAAAATATTTTTTTCTTAAATCAGCAGAATCAGCCAAAACAGCCACTCCAGCCAGAATATCATAAATTTCAGCAGAATCAGCCAAAACAGCCGATTTTGGTGCTACCAAACGGGCTCTTAATTTTTTGAGTATATTGGCTGAAGGTAGAGTCATTTTAGTTATTTTTCATATATTTCTTTCTTTATTTTACTAATAATATATATTTTGATTATAATATTTACTTGAATCAGCTAATTCAGCCACTTCAGTCAGAACTCCATAAGTTTCGTCAAAATCAACTGATACAATCGATTTTGATATTACCACTTGGACTCTTAAAATTGTTTCGACTTCACGAAAAGGTGTGTTTAGGTGAAATGATAGAAGTACTATCTTAGGGCATCCACATCCATAGATTATTTTAGAGATCATTGTGATGATGTGGAGGATCTTTTTTGAGATTATGGTTGAGAAGTTAGGATTATTTGTAGAGATTATTTGATAAAATAATCTAGTATCAAATTCTAAAGCTAGATTATTTGAAGATTATTTCCAACTTTTAGGCTCCTCTCCCAATTTTCCAGACATACTCATGAATTGATTTGAAGAGCTCATGTATGCCATACTACAAAAAATACGAAGAGTTGATCGAACTGCATGCGCTATTTTCCTTTATACGTAGTGTTCAACATCCAAATTCAATTCAATTCAATTCAAGTGTTCATTGTTCAACATCCAATACATTGTTATTTAGCACTACTACAATTAAATACATTAATTGTAATATTATTAAAGAAAATACATTAATTGAAATGTTATAAATTAAAATATATAATGTTATATACAAAAATTTATAGTAGTATAGTGTACGTATAGTACTTTATTAATATACTATATAATTTGTAGTACGTATATTACATATATATAATAGTGTACGTATAGTACCATATATGTATATGTAGTAATATAGTTTGTGCATGTTTGTGTGAGTGCATTTAAGTTAGAGATTTTGAAATTAAGTGTATGTCTCATAAAAAATCTAGGTAATTTAAGATCATGATTGAGGAGAAAATTTTTGGTTTGGAGATTATTTGAGATTATCTTATGTGGAAGTGACATAGCAATAATAGGCCATGAAAAACCGTAAAGTTGAGGATCATCAATGAGGATCATTAATGGCTTCTAATTGTTTCTTCTTGAAAACGGGGAAATGTTTGGTTCGAGACAAGTTATTCTGTTTCAATGTGACATTTATTGAAAACAAATATGGAGCATTTTATTCCCTCTTGAAAGTTTTCTACAATAGGATTGGACATATCATCTATATCTATATCTATATTTTTTTATATCTATATTTATATACTCATTCTTAGGAGTATTTTCGTAACTCCCTTTGCTTTTATGCTACTCCGGATTTTTTCTTCCGATCTTTTCCTCTCTTCTTCTTCTTTACCAGTTTACTTTGCTTTCCCTCCTTATTACGCAACTCTCTCGTCTCCCTCCTTATATGGAATCTATCAATTCTTCAAAGGCTGCAAAAAGTCCCTTCAAATTCATTTTGAAGAATGTTAAAATGTAGTCGAACATCAAGTCTGTGTTATTGTTTAAAGAAGTATGCAGGTGGATTGTTCCTAACAAGGAAAATTGCTCTGAGCCATATACGATTGAAATGGTCTCATGGACGAGAGGGTAAAATCTTATTACTTTCCTATAATATTGTGTACTTTGCACTGTCGTTGGTTACATTTCTGCAATTGACATTAGTCTCCCTTTCATACTATGCATACTTTATACTTGTCTTGAATTTAATTGGAACTTTTGATGTTTGAAGCAAGTTCGTGGTAAGGTTTGTACTCTTGTGCTCATTAATTAAGCCTAAAAAGGATAAAATTATTCATCCTATAAAAATGAAATTTCATTCAAATGTGAGAAATATGATATTTTCATTACACCCAACAATCATACTATTTTTTTGGGTGACAAATGTGAGAAATCTGAATTTCTTCATTTTGACTACTATTGCATGCAGTCATGTGTTGTCGGGCAGATTTTATATGCTTTATCAATCTTTTACCTGTTAATCGTGCCACAATAAACAGAAATTTAAAACTTAATCAAAACAGTGTTGTGTTTGTAAGAGTGAGTTGAAAAACTCAATTTCGTGCTTAAATATTTTGTTGTCTAGCTTACTCGCCAAGTTTTTATTAACTCAAACGCAATGATAGAAATGTTCATTTATCACTAGTAAAAATGACTTATAGTGACATTAAATTAGTGTCACTAAGCGATTTAGTGACACACTGAAAGTGTCACAAACAAGCGGGGCAAGTGACACAAAATTTAGTGTCACCGTTAACAAATCACTTTTGAGTCACAAACTTATAACATGTAAACATCATTGAGAACTGTGACATGTAACAAGGATTTTTGTGATACCACTGCATCACGTTTTTTAGTGATACACTAGTATCATAAGTATATATATATATATATATATATATATATATATATATATATTATATATATATATATATATACTTCGTATATATATATATATATATATACACACACACACACACACTACATATATATCATACTAAAATGTTTTATCACCAATAAATAGGGTTTAA